GTAGTCACCCCGTAGTACTCGTTTGATTTTTAATTTGCTGCGCCCGGGACATATCTTGGATTATTTTGCATTAAGAATGACTATTCTTCCTCCCTTTCACCCCCTTTCATTTCTTCGTATTATACTTTATTGGACCTACCCCTGTTTTCCTCTATTTCTAGTGCACTGTCGTGGTGTTGGTGGTGGTAGAACGCGGAAGAAGCAAACAAGTGAAGAAGTAAGAAGAGTAGAAATAAGAGCGGGAGAATAGTAAGAGGGAGCCCAAGCACAGACTTGACGATTCAAATACATGGGGGGGGGGTTCAACCGAAATGATTCGCTTTTTCGTCGCAGCATCATTAAAGTACACACACACACACACACACACACACACACACACATACACACACACACACACACACACACACACACACACACACACACAGACACAGACACACACACCTCGTGTCTGGTGATGTTGACGATGAGCTCGGTGATGTCAAAGACCTGGACAGTAATGCCCGCCGAAGCAGCATCGCGCACCGCCTGATAACAAGACACCAGACACGCATGAGAAGGAACTGAACCTGACACGCGCACTCGCGCAGCATCAAGCACTGTCCAAACCCTACGAGGCAAATGGCTCACACAGATGCATGCGCACGCGCGCATACATGCACACGCACACGCACCTTTGATGCGCTGGGTGTCAGCTTTGCTTGTGCAACAATGATGCCAGCGTTAATGCCTTGTTGTGTGAGCTTGTCCAGGTACCTGATGAAGGAGCGGTGGTTGAGGTGTGAGTAACAAGAGTCGCCGCTGAACATTGTAAAGGGAACAGCGAAACATGCTGTGGGAGGCAGAGGAGATGAACAAGCAAGGGTATGGATCAGCACACCCACAGCAAACACACACAAAAATGTACGCACACACACACACACACACGCAGCAAACAAACAAGCATACACACACACACACACACACACACACACACACACACACACACGTACTCCTTGACTTTGCTGATGCCAATTTTGAGATCATCCGCCCAGAAGATGGCAATGCGGTCTGCAATGGCAAGCAATGGTTGATCAGCCATGTGTAAGGGCGAGCATGAGCACAAACACACGCGCGAGATTGTCCCTCTGTGGCCATAGCAGTAGTGGGTACCAGCACTGCGAGCGCACAGGCAAAACCCAAAACAAAGCCGTACTCTGTTCATCCTTCTTGTGCGCAAACACGCTGTCCAGCTCCGACGGCCTACAACATGTTTGTTCGTGCGTGCGAGAGGGAGCATGTGCGTGTGTATGCGCGCGCGTGTGTGTGGTGGGATGGTGAACGCGAGGGGGGGGGGCAGCAGGCGTCATGCACGCAGTGTTCACACAGAGAGAGAGATACACACGCACACGCACACACACACACACACAAATACATGGACACAGACACACACGCACAGAACACACACACACACACACAGAGCACACAGAGCACACACCAACCTTGGGTCACTGCCGAAGCGCTGCTCAAACTCTGTTTTGGAAACCTCTGTGTGTGGGACACTGTAGCCACGATCGCTGCACAACTGCACCGTCGTGTTGTATGCTCTGCGCAAGCGTTCCACGTCCATGTCGCTGGTGCTGCTGGTGCCGTGTTATGACAAAGCAGCTGCGGTTTGTGCACACACACACACACACACACACACACACACACACACACACACACACACACGTGCTTGAGGGCAATTTGTGGTGTCGTGAAACAACACTGGATACGACGACTGTTCTTGCTTGCTCGCCACACGAATATGGAGAGGTTGACGCTGCACACGAAGCGGGCGACCGCGGTGCTGCAGCACGCGCCGTTTGTTGTGCTGTATGGCGTGGGTGTGTTTGAGATGTGGCGCACAATCGGCCAGCCGTACGAGGAGGCCCTCGCCAAGGCCGCTGCCACGCAACCCGACGACGGCGTGAGTGGACTGATGCAGGCTGGGGAACGGGAAGTGACACGTGTGACGCGCCAGCGTGATGCGACAGCGTGATGCGTGTGCCCGGGGTGTGGGTGCGTGTACGTATGTGTGGGTGTACGTACACGTGTATGTGTTTGTATGCGTGTACGTATGTGTGTACCTCTCCCAACAACACTGAGAACACCAACCAACTCACACACACACACACACACACACCTCTCACTGACTTGTGTTGTCACATTGACAACTGCAGTCGGACTTTCTGCCGCCGTGCATGCCCTTGCCGGGCGAGTACATGCCGACGTTTGCATCTCGCCTGTTTGTGGGAGCATCCGTCATCCTGCACATCCTCATGCTGCTGATGCAGCACTGGTCTGTTGCCTTCCACTGTTGGCTCCACTACCGCCCGGCGCCCCTCAAAGAAGCCACCCATGCCCTGGTACTGTGTGTGTGTGTGTGTGTGTGTGCGTGCGTGTGTGTGTGTGTGTGTGTGTGCGTGCGTGTGTGTGTGTGTGTGTGTGTGTGTGTGTGTGTGTGTGTGTGTGTGTGTGTGTGTGTGTGTGTGTGAACGTAAGTGTACTGCGTATACACTCGTTCACCTGCCAGTGTACGCATGCGCACACAGACACACACATACACGTACGCTCCCTCAATGTTGGATTCCATGACTTTCTCCCTCCCCGCCCACATCTCTGATTTTCATGTCTTCCTCCGCACCACACCACAGGCCACCCCACCAGTCCACCAGGGAAAGCCCGAGCTTGTCGCCATCGAACGTACCGCCAAGGGCGTGCCATACATCCGCTTCCAAAAGCAAAACTACATGCACAACCCTGTACGTCTGCATGTATGCATCCTTGTGTGTGCATCTGTGTGTGTGTGTGTGTTTGTGCATCCTTGTGTGTGCATCTGTGTGCATCTGTGTGTGTGTGTGTGTGTGTGCACCCACAACTGTTTCTGTATGTGTGTGCTTGCTACATACGCACACGCTGCTTACACCGCACCCACTATCATCATCATCATCATCACCATCACCATCGCCATCATTGCTACCCCCTCCCACCACCAGCGCGTGAAGGAGCACGGTGGGTTTGTGCGCGTGGCCTGCCCTGACGAACTTCCACTCGAGGAGTATGCACAGCACCCCGGTCTCTCCACACCATCAGCAAAGGCCAGGATCATGGTGCGTGCCGTGTGTGCCGTGTGGCGCTGGTGGTGTTGGTTGCTTGCTTGCTGGGCGTCTTGCATAGCTCCATCGTGTTGACGCATGACTCTGTATTGTTGTGTGTCTGTGCACATTTTCGTATTGCTGCGTGGTGCTATGCTTTGTCTCCCGCCTTAACACAACCACGCGTACACCCTGCCCCTTCATGCGTGCTCCCATTCCACGCGCAGCAATATGGGGAGAACAAGTTTGAGATTGAGATCCCGTCCTTCCAGGACTTGTACGTGGAGGGTCTCCTGCAGCCGTTTTCCGTCTTCCAGGTGTGTGCACACATGCACACATGCACACATGCACGCATGCACACATGCACACATGCACACATGCACACATGCACATATTTGAACACAGCCACGTGTAGTATGATCATTACATGTGCAATGTATTGGTGTATGCAGTGCGCCTTACACACACACCACACACACACACACGCACACACACACACACACACACACACACACACACACACACACACACACACACACACACACACACACACACATTCTAACATCCCCCCCCCCACACACGCTGCCAGTTCTTCTGCGTGCTGCTGTGGTGCCTGGACGAGTACTGGCAATACTCGCTCTTCACGCTGGGGATGATGCTCATGTTCGAGGGCACCGTGGTCATGACGCGACGCAAGAATCTCACCAGCTTGCGTGGAATGAACAACGCCCCCCGCTCGCTCCTCGTTCGCCGCGACGGCGCCTGGTCTCGCATCTCCGCAAACAAACTCGTCCCAGGCGATGTCGTCAGCGTTCCAAGAGGTGTGCTGTTGGGGTGTGTTCGTGCGGGTGTTTTGTGTGTTTGTGTTGTGTACATGCGCATGTGTGCGTGTATGTATGTGTGAGTGTGTGTGCGTGTATGTATGTATGCGTGTATGCGTGCATGTGTGTGTGCTTGCATGTTCACATGCATATGCGTGCGTGCACGTGTGTTCGTGTCTTGTCGTGGCTGTACAAGTGTCACATGGCAGATCAAAAGTTCGACTTTCGTTCCCATTCCTCATGATTCCAACTCGTTACCCTGCTGCGCGTGTGTGAACATGCGTGCTTGCAGGCACGGGTGGCGATGAAGACATTGTGCCGTGCGATTGTCTTCTCCTCAAGGGAACAGCCGTCGTCAACGAGGCAACCCTCACCGGTGCGTCAGATGACGTGCTCGCACGCGTGTACAACACATGCATACCTGCAGTGCTGCCGTTTACCCTTTTGCATCATTGCATTCACTCGGAAACCTGAATCCATGTACTTGCATGTGTGCGATTGTGTGTGTGTGCATGTGTGTGTGTGCATGCGCGTGTGTGCATGCGCGTGTACATGTGTGCGTGTGCGCGTGCCCAACTCTGCGTGTGTGCGTGTGCAGGCGAGAGTGTTCCGCAGATGAAGGAGGCCGTGTTTGTTGATGAGGAGACGGCGCCGGTCAAACTCGATGTGCAGAACCGCCACAAGGTGCCGACGTCTTGCGATCATTCGCTCACAGCGACGAGGATTGTTGATGAGCACAACAACACTTTCCACCTTGCAAATCAGCGCTCGTACTGCAATTCACAAGCAATCACGCACAATCACACACACACACACACACAAACACACTCACACACTCTCTCTCCCTGAATCTCTCTCTCTCTCGCACGTACCCCCCACCGTACAACATGTGCCACGCTGCGTGCCAGGTGCACGTGTTGTGGGGCGGGACGAAGATGCTGCAGCACACGGGCGCTGTTGCCGAGGAAGATCGCGTGTGGAGCAAGGACTCCAGCCAGGATGTACTCGACCGCCTGCGCACCATCGCCGCGGATGACGTGCCTGCAGGCACGCCGGACGGCGGCTGCCTCTGCTACGTGCTGCGGACGGGATTTGACTCTTCACAAGGTTCGCAGGAGGCGGAGGCATAGACATGGGTTGTGAGACACACCTGTGTTCGTGTGTGTGTATTCGTGGCCGTGCACCACCACTTGACCGTCACACCATACTGTTGCCGTTTTATCACCACTCAAAGCACACACACACGCGCGCGCGCACACACTCATTTTTTGTTCACACATGCATACACGCACACCTCCGCAGGCCGGCTTGTGCGCATGATTCAGTACAGCAGCGAGAAGGTGTCTGGCAACAGCAAGGAGGCGCTAGGCGCTACTTCTTGTGCTGTTTCTTCTTATCTTCGCCCTGGCTGCAAGCGCGTATGTGCTGAAGAAAGGGCTTGAGGAAGGCCGTGACCAGTTTGACCTCCTCCTCCACTGCATCCTCATTGTCACCAGCGTCATCCCCCCAGGTACCGCTGCGTGATTTGCCAGGAGGGGGACTATTCTAGTGTGGACATGTAGCTGTCAACGCACGTGCATGCGTTGTGTGTGTGTTGTGTGTGTGTATTGTGTGCCTGCCCTCGTGTTTTTCCCTTGTCTCATGCACCCACTCCCTACACCCCGCTCCTCCCAACACCCCACCACCCCCCCCGTCCAATGCAGAGCTGTACATGCAGATGACGCTTGCTGTGAACACGTCGCTGATGGCGCTGATGAAGGCGATGATCTACTGCACAGAGCCCTTCCGCATCCCCATGGCGGGCAAGGTTGATGCCTGCCTCTTTGACAAGACCGGCACCATCACCACGGACGAGCTCGTTGCCGCGGGCGTCGTCGCCGTCTCGCAGGTGGGCTCCGGTGTCTGTCTGTTTGTGTCCGTGTGTGTGTGTGTGTGTGTGTGTGTGTGTGTGTGTGTGTGTGTGTGTGTGTGTGTGTGTGTGTGTGTGTGTGTGTGTGTGTGTGTGTGTGTGTGTGTGTGTGTTTGTGTTGCTTGCTTGTGTCTGGGCCTCGAATTGCCCACTTTGTACTGCCTTGTGCTGCATGCGCTGTGATTAGCAGCTGTACCCTCCTCCATAACAAACACACACACACACACACACGGACACACGCTCACATGCGCTCACCCTTCCCCCTCCTCTCCATCCATTCTGCCACCAGTTCCCTGAAGCACGCGCCCAGCACAAGCTGTTGAGCGTGACGGGGTCGAAACCGCAGGAGCGACACCCCATGGGCAGCATGCCCTTGGAAGCATCTGTCGTCATTGCCGGCTGCCACTCGCTCGTTGATGTGGACGGGAAGTCCACTGGCGACCCCCTCGAGATGACGTCCATCAAGGTGACGCGTCACAACGACACGGGGTTGCGGGGTTGTGGGGTTTGCAGCCGCTGCTGTTTGCTTGGTTTGTTCGTGAAATTAACTTGTTGTTCATTTTGGGCGCGAGCTAACCCCCTCCCTGCTCTGCCATGCTCCCTGCTGTATTGTGCTCTGCTCTGCTTTCTGCTCTGACGCGTGCATTTTACTGGGCAGGCGATCAAGTGGCGGTTCGACACCAACACCAACACCGCAATGCCAACCAAGGACGCAACGGTCACCTGGCCCGCTTCCATCAAGTACGCGCGACTCACACATTGTGCTTGCAGGCATTCCTCTTCTATACTTGGTGCTAGTTGCTGTCCTCTTTCTCCATGCACACGCTCACTGCCCGAGTGAGGAACGAAACTCTTTCTTCGCTGCTGTCTTGTGTTTTGCTGACATTCGAATGTTATTTCAACATACCCACGCATGCACTCGCACGAATACGCTCACATCTGCACGCACACAATCACTACTTGTGGTATTTCCACTGCCCGCGCAGGCCGAGTGTGAAGATTCTTGTTCGTCATCACTTTGCGAGCAAGCTGCAGCGCATGAGTGTTGTTGCGCGTGTGTCCACGAGCACTGACTGTGGCGTCCGTGGCCTCTGCGTCCTTTCCAAAGGTAGAAACTACGCATGCTCATGGCGTGTTTGGTACGAGGTGGTGGTGGTGGTGGTTGCACGCGGCGTCTTGCCACACATTGATCAACACGCGCCTCGTTGCCACCACCACCTCCTCCTCATCATCATCACCATCGTCATCACCATCATCACCATCATTCACGGGTGCAGGGAGTCCGGAAATGATTGGCCAGCTGCTCAAGGACGGAACAATGCCCGCATGGTACACCCCAACGCACCGCAGTCTCGGTACGACCCTGCATCCCCATGTCGAGAGGTTGCTTCCACACCACCATTCACTTCACTGAACGGCACCCCCCCCCCTCACAACCGTCATTCGCAATCATTTCCAATCATTTCCAATCATTTCCAATCATCCCTCACACCTCCCCCCCCCCACCAAACACATCCACCACGCCCCCTCCACCTCCTGCACAGCCAAGGCCGGCATGCGTGTGATTGCCCTCGCCTACCGCCGTTGCGACGACGACTACGACGAGACAAGCGTGCTTGATGCGCCCCGCACTGCGCTCGAGAAGGACCTGCTGTTTGTCGGCTTCCTCGCCTTCCGCTGCCTCGTGCGCGCAGACAGCAAGGACGTGGTGCAGAACCTGAAGCAGAGCTCGCACGCCGTCACCATGGTCACCGGCGACGCCCCACTCACAG